TGGCTGGGGAATTCTGGGAGTTGAAGTCCACCCATCTTCAAGTTGCCAAGGTTGAGAAACAGTGCATTAGACAAACAGCCTGTTGGGACCCTTACATTAAAACAACATATTTCATGCGCAGTCAGAACCCTTTATCTGAACAAAACAGTACAATTGAGAACTGCATATGTGGATCTGATTGTGGTAAATTGTGGGGGTGACATAGAAATATGACTTGCATTTTTTTTCAGTTATATCTTTTACTGTATCTTGTAACGGATAATATTTTATTATTCTGTATTTTATATTTTGTATTCTGATATAGCCTAATGGCTAATCAATAAATTATTTTATTATTACCATTATCCACCATCTTTCATTCTGTGGAAGAGATGTAGCATATAAGTCATTGAAAGAAAGGAATGAATACATGTGTGTGTTTTTTTAACCATCGATTCTAGGTTTAACTGGTCATGGAAAGGAGTAAAGGGCTCTTCAAAGCACCTCCATCGTATTCCTTGGCATTAAAAAACTTTTTTTTCATGGACATTTCCAACAGCAGTGAGTCTGTATCTGAACAGATATACAGTATATAAAGTTGTCCTGCTCTGCTGTATGCATGGCCATTGGCCTTTTGATTTTCTACACTTTATTTCACCTTCATTCCATTTCTTGTGAACATTTTTAAACCACCAGTCTTTAGTCTCCTCGACTCACCCAGCAAAACCTACAAATAGGCACCATATTACAGGAAATCCCCTTACACAAAATCAGTCACCCGTTATGATCCTCCCACATATTTCAAAAATACTCCATCTCTTTATTAGTTTAATCTCTTAGCAAACAATCTACACAACGTAACTACCTTTTAATGGTTTGGTAAATAACAATGGCCAATAAAGAATGAGTGAAACCTGGAAAGGTGTATTGTAGGAAAATAATACTGTACTGGCAAATAAACCTTTTAGTTCCTGCTGGCAGGTTCAGGAAAATCTCCACTATTAGCAAACCTTTTTACTAGTGTACCTCCTCCCAGAATGTTAATTACTGTTCATCTTATGAAAAGATCATACCACTCGCTAGCACAGAATGAAGACGGAGCAACGGAGGAAGAAGTTCTGGTAGCCCAATTGATTTCTTTCCTTGAAACAAGAGTTCAGAATTGCTGGAATTCTCAGAAACCATTACCTGTAAGTTACTCAGTTCTTGGGGGGGGGGGGGGGGTGTCATAAGCATCTCTATCTAATTTCAGGGCAGGAAGTCCAGAGTCCTCTGAAGGATGCCCCTCTGCTCTGACAAAAGCCACCAGTAAGAAACTGGGATGGTTCTTTGAAGTAGCCATCTAACCCCAGGTGGATGATCCTGAGGAATGGCCTTTCAAATTGAGCTCTTGAAACTCTCACCATTAATGCAGTTGAAAAACAGGAGAGTTACTAGATTCAGCCTCAGAATATCTGCTCCCAAGTTGTAGGCCACATTTTCAAGTTTCAGACTCTTTGAAAGGGCTCTGTTTCCATCCATGCTACCGCATGCCTTTCTTTCAGGTCTCACATCTTCAAACCCATCAACAGTTTGAAGTACCAAGTTCCATCTGGGGCTTTGTGTCATGAAAATGTCCAGCACTAGGATGTCTCCTCTAATGCTGAGCTTCTCTTTGGTTCTTCTGGGTGTGTCTAGTGCTTGTAAGTATGCGGTCACATCAAATGCATGGTAGCTCCAAAGTACTCACAGTTGAAGTTGAGGCTCTATGATAGAGTTTGGTCTATTTAGATATATAGTAGGTTACATTTTTTCATACCAGCTCTCATTCAATGTGTTAAAATAGACCTTGCTTTAGAAATTCATCCAAAGAAGAAAAATATTTCAGTAAAGTTTTTATGGGTGGACTATGGTCTCTTGGGCTTATTGACTAAATTTGCACAACACAGTGAAATTGGTGGCTGAATTAACCTTATTTCAGGGTTCCCACCATACATGAAATCTTAAACTGAACAAACAAGCTGGGATAACACAATACAGTAAGCCACACACAAATAATCACACATGAATACACACATACACCAAAACTAATCAGTGTTAAGACTGTCCAAGCTTTGCACATTGTACAAATGCAAAGCTTGCATAGTTTTCAACTGATTTAGATAAGTGCATGTCTGGAAATGGCCATTAAATTATAAAATGGCCAAGGAGTGAGGAAGAACGTCCTATCATTCTACAATAATGTATTTGATTGTGTACAGCCTCTCTGGCTTCCCAGTGGAAGATTTCAGGAGGTGATTTCTTCCACAGACTTTCTTAGTAGTAGAGTTTCTGTTGTGCTAAGTAGGAGTCCTACCCTTAAGAAATTGCTGGATAATTTTTCCTTTCTTTGGAAAAATTCAGGGAAATCATCTACCCAATCTCCAAATTCAATGGAGAACTTTGAAAGCCGTTTTAAGCCCAACTCTAGTTTGAATCCTCTTTCCAGTGCTTGAGATGAGGACTAGGTGGACATACATGAAGAGTCAATCTAAGGTATCTGATGTCTTCCTCCCAAAAACTTTTTCTAGAATATACAATGAGAATTTAAAAATATGTCGTTCAGAAGTCAACTCTTTTCTCCAGGAATGATGATGATGATGATGATAATGATCCTTCTCCTCCTCCTCCCCCTCATCTCATATCAGCCTTTGATGCCACAGAAAGCCTGGCTAATGATGTAGGAATATCTCCAAAGGAAAGAGAGCCAAAATTTTCAGATTTCTTTGTGGGAGGGTTTAGAGACTGGGGTTTTCTAATTGCAAGCTAGGGGCGGAAGTTTAGTATACTGTACCTATTTTAGTTTTCACCAGCCATATATATCTACTATAGCATGTCCACATTGGCTACATCACTGATTTTGTCCGGGTGCTGTAGTGAAGTGGGGTCAGTCTGGTTAGCATGGGAGATTTATTTATTTTATTTTATTTTATTTGGGAAACTCATATGGCCACCCGTGTTGTATATCATAAATCCGGATGGCTCTCAGCAACACTAAAAACATATAAGAAACCATAAAAAAAAATGCCATTCAAAAAATGTGCCTGGTGCCTTCAAATAACACTCCTCAACAACAACTATGACGAGGCTCCAGCCTCACCCAATCCCAACGCTTGAGATGTTAAGGCCTTCTGGAAATCGAGAAGAGTAGGGCCTGCCAGATCCCATAAGGCAGGAGATTCCAGGAAATCCCTGATCTGTACAGGCTGGACTAGGAAATGGAGTCCTTGGGGTTCTCTGAGCTTGGTTCTTTCCTTGCAAACGTTTCATTACCCAGCTAGGTGTGTGAAACAAGCAGCACAAATCTCTCTGGGTTAATCAGAAGTAAAGTTTTATTGGAAGCGTTTGCAAAGGACTTCGTTGCAAATAAGAAGCCACCCTTACAGATTTCAGCACATTTTATACCACCCTAGGCCGACTCTCAAACTTCCCCATTTCCCCCATTGGCCGAGGTACTCTGAGGTCACAATCTTTAGCCGACCGCCTATTCCTTGTCACCCCCCTTTCTACAGACCCCTACATACTACATACTACATACATTACATGTTCATGGTAAATAGGCGATTAGTTATGCGGGGTGTGGTTTTTATTAGGGTAATAAGGGTTGGGGGGCAAGAGTTCATGCATTCTTAAGAGATCTCTGGTAAGTATCACTTTGGACAGGTCAAGCCACCCCAAACTGGTCCTGTCTTACCTTGTCTCACCCCAGAGAGATTTCCCCCCTCCCTATTTCCTGTGCCCCTTGGGGCCGCTTGGAGGCCCCTTGGTAACCATGGCGATGTCTCCTAGTTCGAGGTAGTTTCGGAAACAAAGGCTTGGGCAGCTAGGTATTTAGTATTGCAGCTGCCCTCTTAGCATGCTCAAGTTACTCTTTCTTTGTCAATAATAACATATTTTATCCATCTCTCACATAGGTAACATCTTCAGTGCTAAAATGGGATGAGGTTTGCTCGCTTTTTTTTTGTGCTGTGGCCTGCCTTGCCAGTGCTGGTGGGGGGGGGGTTATTTTGCTCCTCTGGTAGTTCTTTGATTGGCGTATGTTTGCTGCTTGATCGTGTGGCTGGTGGTAACCTTTGCTTATCTGGGTGATGATTGCTGGAGATGATTGCTGGTGATTGAATGCTGGTGGACTAGGAAGTCAATTGAAAAATCATCCTGGAAGAACAAAAATGGCCTCCAAAATGGCCCCAAAACCTCCATGGGTGTTTCTGTATAATCATCAGCCCCTAGGCTTGATTAAAATAGGCTTTACTTTCGCTCTTCGCAACTTCTCTAGGAACTGAAAGCTAGATAAAGACAAACACGTTCATCATGGAAAGAAGGCAGGTCCTGTTTCACTTCTGCAGAGCAGAATTCACAAAGGACAGGTGGCATCTGAGCCTTCTGATCGTGAATATTACAATCAGAAAGCGTAGAAGCTCGGAATAGAGCACTGGCTTTCTAATTAGCCAAGACTGCCTATTCACAGGAGCAAATTCCATTTTCCGTCACTAGATGTCATTATTCTCTGCTTTTGAAGCATGTCAGGTCTAGTGTGAAGACAAGATTCTGGGAATTCATTGTAGCGAGCGAGGGTTTTCCGGGAAAACCGCTAAACTAAACTAAAAAAAATCAGGTCAAGAAAACAAAACTGCAGAACAATGGCATTAATTCAAGAGAAGAGGTTGGATTAAGGGTGGAACCCAGAATAATGAAATAGGATATCAGAGAGGTTTGGTTATGCAATATTTTCACCAATATCTGAATGCTTTCTGCAGCTACTTCATCTTCCATGACCTCTGTGAGTAGTCACACAACAGTTCAGCTACGGTACCCAGAAAGCAGGCTTCATATCTTTTCACAAACATCCCATTTCCTGGATGGTCTTGCAGAAAACAAAACAGATACATCTACTCAAGAGATTACAGCTATGGCTGAACCAATTCATGCCATTCTGCTACCCAATCTGGATGTTAGCCAGTGGCACCGTAAGATGCTTCCCCAGACACAAACTGAAGAGGACCACCAAATCACCCTTCTGGAAAGGCTTTCCCAAAAAATGGAGGGGGCCCCTCTTCCTGAGGGAAAGTTGGAAGTATCTACAGCAACTGATGATGTCTCTCTAGAGAATACTGCATATGAGCGAGGGATTATGGGACAAGAAGTATTGCACGAGCAGGAAAGTGGGCATGCTCAAATGCCTCCAGAACATAATCAAGATCGCCGTGTCCCATTTATCCCTGGGGGCTCTGGCCAACGTCCTCCTTCATGGAATAACCCACAAAAGCCAAACCCTTGGCCCAAACCCAAGCCTAAACCCAAGCCTAAACCCAAGCCTAAACCCAAACCTGAGTACAACATACCAGATAAACTGGAAAATGAGGACAATGCATTTAATGATGAATTTACCTCTCTAAACTCATCTACTTGGGGATTCCAAGTTCAATGGAGCGTATCATTCGCCATCTTTCCACGTAGTTTTGCTGGACTACTGGTAGCCCACTTGATCACCTAAACTTTAAGAATGTGTCATTCCTGTCCTTGGTAGTCCTTAATGGAAAACAGCTCTTTCCATAAATCCCACTGATGTACTATCAAGAGTGCTGTGGGAACAGCCTAAACATAGGTTAGCCCATATTTCTCTTTTCTGATGCTGGGTATAGGCAACCAATGCACAGCTGCTGTTGGTAGGGATGATGGGGATGATGATGATGATGATGATGATGATGATGATGATGATGATATCAATAAGGTCTTCATGTCACCCAACCCTCCATGCATTCCCTAAACAATATTGAAGCAGCCCACCACGGGAGTGAGTTATCAAGAGTAAGCACACTCCATCTTTCATGACCAATGTCTTCTAAGACTTTTGATTTAATGCTACAGGGATCATTTTTATCAGCTGTATCATTCTTATCATTTGATCATTTTTAACAGCTGTATTATTTTTATTATTTTATTATATTATTGCTGTGGAGAGCTTCACTGTTTTGTTTTCTTCATGACCACATTTGTACAACATGGCCGCCATGACTTAGCGTTAATCATTTTATACACACAATGGTTGCCGGTAGATACAATCCACCAGGTAGTTTTTTTGCACAAACTCTACAAACTCAGCCACACGGCTGTTTGTTAAACCACAAAAAAGGCGTAACTATTATACGTTTCTTTAAATACTGAAGACAAATGTCATCATTTGCATAGAATGGAAACTGACAGTAACTGATGTTGGTTTCTTTCTGAAAAGAAATTTAGTTGTTTTTAAGAAAAGAGAACTAAAAGGTGGGAGGGGGGGACTTTGAATTGCCAAGCTTGGATTCATGTATATTTAACTAGTACCTTCATGCATTCATCATGTAAGCTTCAGCCATTTAATAGGAAATTCCTAAGAGCCCAGAGGGGCAAGGGGGCAGGATAAGTCCATATGGTTGCCAATTTTTAAAAAATTCAATACATCCACTGCAGAGATTCAAAACTGGAGGCCTAAATTGACCAATGACCAAAATAAAGCCTATGGTTCTGATTTTCTATCAATGTGTCAATTGCCTTATTCCTAGCACACGATAGATGTTTTTAGCCATGTTCTAACCCCACTTTCCATTCAAAATTCCTTGGGGCTTTGTTCTCCCTGACTGCTTTTATGAGTTTTGGATTGGAGATAATCTTGACTACCAATATTGATCGTGTTATCATTCATTGGGCTGGGGGGAGGGGTATGCTGCTAGGAGAAACTGCAAGTAATCCACCTCCCTCAAACAAATCAAGTTTCAGGTGGCATTGTGAAAATGACTGGAAGGGGGGTTCATGAAACAGACTAAGACCACTTGTGACATTGACTCAAGGAGGCATCTGAAGGCCCACCTTCTCTTTCCCCAAAGGATTGGAAGGCAGAAATGAATGGTTTCATTTTGTTTAGAATGACACCCAATGTTGCAAGACAGTTCAACTGAACTTGGGTACACAGACAGAAAATTAAAATAGACTCTGCCTCAGTTTATTTCTGCCTGTAACAGGCAGAAGCTCTGCCTTTTAATAGCTGCCCATGACGTACACTGGATCTTACATCTTAAGAGGTCCAGTGAAGCAGACCTTACCTCTTTATCTGCCTTCATTCAACTCTTTTCCACCACCTCTCAGCACTACAATTACTGCGGATTTACAATTAGCCAGGCTTCCATCACCAAGCAATCAATCACTCAATCACATATCACTTCATTCTCCACCAGGCACCAAGCATTACTCATTACTTAGACCTACTCTTGCTAGATATCCACAGGCGGGCTTAAGAAACAGCAGCCTTTAGATGAGAAATTGTGGTAGTTAAGGGAAGTGGCACCAGTCCAGGTTTTAGACGATGTGGTTATTTTTTTCACTATCTTTCACCCCCTACTACTTCCCATTGATTCATGACAGTATCAAAGTTAAAATCAAAACACCTAGAACAATTAACAGGTTTATATGAAATGGGGAGAAAAACAAGAGTAAAATTCAAAATGTTGCATGATGTAAAAGAGAGGGGTGGGTTAGCTTTTCCCAACCTCAGATGATATTATAGAGCAAGCTATCTATCCTAGATAACAGGATGGATAACATTTCCTAATTGTAGAATATCAACTATAGAAGGAGCAGGTTTAGTCAATGGCTTCACAGATACTATGATATAAGGCAGTGTTGTCCAAACTTGGCCACTTTAAGATGAGTGGACTTCAACTCCCAGAATTCCCCAGCCAGCAGTCTTAAAGTGGCCAAGTTTGGACAACACTGGTATAAGGAAATAAAAGAAGACAAGAATCTGAAGGAATATACTGTATTATAAGAGAAAGTCTGTTAACATTTTAATAATTTTTTCGATATTTTATTTTATTTGTTTTGCTTTTGCTTTTTTTTTTTTTTTTCAAAATCCTGTATGTGTGTGGCCGCACAGTTCCAAAAATGTTGGGGAGCCCTCAGTGACGGTTTCACACACAAGAAGCTGCATCGTCAACTCGGAAATAGCCAGGGAGCGGTAGAATTGCTTGTTCGGGACCAGTGACGCGTGGTCTGCACAGCATACGTCAGAAGATGCGTAGCTACCTTCTGCACCAGCTTCCACACAGCCCCAGTACCTTATTGTCAGCTTAGCTTCTTCTTCTTCCAAGGGCTAGGGGTTTTCTTTTTCCGTGCGCCAACAGAGAGGTAGGAATGGCTGAAGAATACGGGGGCCTCCCCTTCTGCTTGCAAGGAAGCACGCTCCCTCAAGAAATGAGCACCGTTGGCTTTCGCAGAATCCTAGAATCAGCCTGTGACAGCGAGTTCTTACACAGCCAGAGAAAGAACAGTATGGTCACAGCTGATTGCTGTCAAAGCGAGGGGCGTGGGGAAACCAGGCCTCCCACCAAAAAGTGGGGGTCAGGCAGCCTGTTTCACAGGGCAAGAGTTTGGCCCTTTGGTCTAGTGGTTACAGGCGCCAGATTAGAAACCAGGAGACGGTGAGTTCTCGTCCCGCCTTAGCATGAAAGCTGGCTGGGTGACTTTGGACCAGTCCCTCTCTCTCTCAGCCCAACCTATCTCACAGGGTTGTTGTGGTGGGGAAAACAGGAGGAGGAATTGTTGGACCCAAAGCGGGGTTCTTAGCCTGGAGACCACTGCCAATAACTTTGCCGGACACGAGAAACCCTTAGAGCAAAATTCCTTTATTGGTGCGCAGCAGTAAAGGGGATACCTCTATGAAAAGAGGCTCCCCGAACAAAAAGAGATCAGGGTTTTTATACATTTTGCTTCAAGGAGATATAACATTGTGAGATTACTGACTGTTCAAGAAGTTCTTCATCACCTTAACTGGGATTTCCCTTTGATCTCTTCTGTGCAGTGGACCCATCCCCATATCTTTTGTTTTCTCAAGAGATGTCAACTACAGGTGAATACAGTCAATAGGTTACCAAGGTTAGATGTGGGCTAACCTAGAAGGGTCAGCTACAGGTGAATACATCCTGAATACATTTAATAGGTTATCTAGGTTAGATATAGGCTAACATAGAAGGGTCAGCTATAGGTGAATACATCCTTGCTGTCCTGCAAGAATCATACTTTTCCATTCCATGAACCTCAGAAGGACTATTAGGTATGTTCACCGCCTTGAGTTACTTATAAAGTAATAAAGGTGGATTAAAAAATATTAAAAAAAGAGAGTTGCAAGAAGAGTTGAATACAGGCAGTCCTTGCTTAACGACTGCCCTGTTTAGTGGCCATTCGAAGTTACAATGGTGCTGAAACAGTAATTTTACCACTGGTCCTTGTAGGACCATTGTAGCATCCCTGCGGTCACATGATCAAGATTCAGGCACTTTGCAACCGGCGGGCATTTATAACTGACGCAGCATCCTGCGGTCACACAATTGCCATTTGCACACTTCACAGCCGGTTTCCAAAAGCAGACTCAATGGAGAAACCAGCAGTAAAATTGCAAATCAAAGTCACGTGGTGTCTCCTTTAATAACTTGTGTGATTCACTTAACAGCCACAGCAGAAGTCAGGATGTAAGTCCATCATGATCATGTGATGTCTTGCCTAATGACATTTGTGGTCGTTAAGCAGGGACTGCCTGCAGTGATTCTACAGAGAGGGTTTGCTGTTGAAACACAGCGGTCGACAGAATTTTCTTTGTGACCTCCCACCTTTTATTCAATAAAAACTGTTTGGATTCTTGTGTGCTCAAATGGTTCCATCTTGCCTGCCCAGTGCCGCCTTTTGAGACAATGAGATGTCTACTCTTTCTCAGCACTGATCGCACTCTAATTGCAAGTGATTACTCGCTGAAGGGAACATGTCATCTTTGGCGCCACTCCAGAACCGGGACACTTGGGTCCACAAGCTCTGAGAGCTGACCTGGTAGTGGATGGTGCCTTCACTGTCGCTGTGGATATAGACGTAATTCCCTTTCTTGCCTGACACAAACTTCACTATATGCCCACCACACTCCACTAATATATAAACATCGCTCTGGATTTTCAACGGCTCCATGACAAACTTCTGCAATGTCACCTGCAAGCATTTCCTGAGGATCCCCGAAAGAATTCCCCAGGTTTCCAAGGTATGCTTCACTCTTAGCAGATCATCGGGACTCCACGGCTCCTCACGGACAAGCATCCTCGTGTGATACATTTCAGCAGTCAGTTCCTTGACGGCATACTGGATCTTCCCATTGAAGATCAGCACGGAAATCTCACAGTGGCCCTTGCCAGCAAGGAATTCCATGCTTAGTCCGTCGCATTGGATCAACAGCCGGGCATTTTGCTGCACAGCCATAGGCTCCTTTCTAAATCCATTGATGGCCACATTGAAACATGCTTGAAGCAGTAGTCGGTCATTGCCCAGCTGATCGCGATGCTTCACAAGATTCCTTTCTGTCAGGGGTTCACAGTGAGGCATCAGAGTAGCCACAATAACCAGAAAGTCCTTCAGGAATTTAACGACTTCGGGAAGCTTCCACCAAGGAGCTGCTCTTATGGCAATGGCCTGCTTCGAATTCATGGAAGAATCCTTCACTTGGGCCATGATTAGTGACAGGATAAGAAAGGTGACAAGACCCAATGCCAATATAATCAGGAAGAATTTGGTCAATAATTTCTTGACCTGACCAGCAAAATATGGGAATAGTGCATTAAGTGCCAATTGGAATCCATTTCTTAGAAAACCAATCATGTTCCTAAAAGGAATTAGATGTCATCAGCATTGGAAAGTGGCAGCTTGATCAAAATGAAATTAAAAAGAAGGCGGATTAAAAAAATAAAAGTCAGGGTTTTATTTTTTATAAATACAAATCAATATTTTATATTTATATAAAATAAATCACCACAAATATTTATAAATATAAACAAACATTTTCTAAATATTATTCAGAAATTTAGTTTTAATTATCTGCATCACCTTGCTTTTTTTTTTTTTTT